GCGCAGCAGGGGGAGAAGGGGGAGGAATGAATCGGCCTGCGGGGAGTGGGACTGACCCGTCCATATGTAGATATTGGGGTGCTGCCCCCGTTCCCCCTTCCCCCCCCACAAAGCACAAAGGATGAGTTAGTCCAGCCCGGGGATTCTATTGTCCCCTCACACACACCCCTCGAGTAGTTGCGAACTGTCTGGCTGGTAGACACACTCATGCAGCCTGAGCACATTTACCAGCCAGGCAGTTCGAAACTACAAACTGATACATCTAGTAATAATACAACTTACCTAATGAGAAAATACTAGACATGTTATATGTCTGGTATTTTCTCAGTTTGTTTTTTATGTGTTTACATTTTTGGCTGCAAAAAGCAGTATTGGAAAAAAGGGTTCCAACTAAAGTAAAAAGTTTGGGAAACCCTGGTCTAACCAGCTTTGTCTGTCTTACAGTCCATTTATCCAATCCATATTCCTTAACTTGCTGGCAAGAATATTGTGGGTGACCATATCAAAAGCTTTGCTAAAGCTGGCACTGGGGGTTTTGGGAGGACCAGAAACAACTTATTTGAATAGCCATTTGATTAATGAATATGCAAATGAACATTACTGGTCCTCCAAAAGTTCGTGAATGGATATACTTACTGGTCCCCTTGTCAAAAAGTTTGGGAACCCCTGATCTATGCCATCAAGTGCCAGCAATGTATATTGGCCAAACCAGACAGTCTCTACAACAAAGGGTAAATGGATGAAATTAGATAGCCAGAATGGACAGACATGCACGCATGCACATACATACACAGCCCCCATCTTTCTGCAAAAGAATTTCACTAACAGTTCACAAAAGAGAGACAGCTGAACTGCATAATGTTGAATTTGCAAATGAATTCCAGTTGGATTGAATAAGAATCTCAACTGGTTAATGCATTAAAAGCAATTTCCCCTCATTGACTATTCAGATCTGCACACCAAATGCTGTGAATGATCAATTTCCACCGACTCAATTAGCATGTTTAATGCAAGCAAGTTCTTCCTTATATATACTCCTGCTTTTGTAACTTCCACTACAGTTAATCTAATGAAGTTGGTTTTACTCACAAAAGCTTATGCTCCAATGAACATATGCTTATGCTCTAATAAACTTAAATTAAAATTCGTATTAATTTATATTAATAAAATATAATAAAAACTTATGTGCTCATAAACTTATGCTCCAGTAAACTCCAGTTGTCTGAAGTGGACTGTTCCCATGAAAGCTCATGATACTATCTACATATTGTGTTAGTGTGCTACCAGACCATCTGTTGTTTAAGTTTATCTAAAATCTGCTAGTCTCTCGTGCCACAGGACTCCTCATTTTTGCAGATAACAGATTAACATGGCCACCCCTCAGACTTCCTTGCTGAGATTGCCGTACTGTCATTTACAATAAGGCTCCTTTACATCATTCTTGAAAGGTAAAGGAGCCTTATTTGTTCCCATTCTTAGTCAGCTAATTATTCTTCACACAACCCTATGCCTCCAAGCCAGAAATGCAGAAAGCAAGTCAGTCTATCCCTGTTACTATCTCACTAGTTAGTAGACAGAGACCAAGCCTCCACCCCTTATCCCTCCATGGATGAATGGTGTGCATGAATGCTTCAACCTCCCTCCTCCACCCCCAAGATGATCTGCAGCTGGCTTGCCTTGCTCCCAGCAGGGCTTCACACAACCCTATGCCTCCAAGCCAGAAATGCAGAAAGCAAGTCAGTCTATCCCTGTTACTATCTCACTAGTTAGTAGACAGAGACCAAGCCTCCACCCCTTATCCCTCCATGGATGAATGGTGTGCATGAATGCTTCAACCTCCCTCCTCCACCCCCAAGATGATCTGCAGCTGGCTTGCCTTGCTCCCAGCAGGGTGCCCAGGCTACCCAGGAAGGGGGGATGCATGTTCCCCACATATTTCTTTGGTCTTCCATTTTTCTGTGAAGGAACCAAGAAAGCAGCCAAAAGCATGAAGTCTGGGTACTAAATTCCCCCAGGCATAACTTGAAAATGCAGATTTAGACACGTTCCAGGACCCAAAGATGCCTAATTGTGGGGTTCAGCCTAAATGCCCCCTCCCTTCCTTCCCCTTCCATAATTCTGTAAGAATAGCATCATTCACTAGTGAAGATTTGGATTCTGTTTCTTATTTTTGTTTTATTTTTCAGATCAACAGCAACCTGGTTGGCAAAACCTTTGAGCACAATAACTCCAGTGTCAAACAGACACTAGTTATGGAATCAACTCTGACAAAAGCTTTGTACCTTGCACCTTAATAGGCTGACTGCCTTTTGAAAAGTCACCTTATCAATTATAGAAAAAAAATTTAGTTAACCAGCGTTTTTATGGAATTACAATTTTTTTCAACAGCAGTCATTTTTAGAAAACACTCTTTTTACAAGATGAAGGCAAACATTTTTCAACCATTTATAAATAAAGTCAACCAGTACAAAAAGATGTGTTGTGAAATCACTGCCTTTTCTTGTTCTTTGGCATCCCATCAATAAAATCTACCATCCAAAACATTTCTTAGATTAATCCTAAGTATTAGCATGTGGTCTCTGTTCTACTTACAGTAGTACAATAGAGTTGTGAATATTACCAATAATGTATCCAGTAATCTTAAGGATACAGTGATGCACATCACATATATGAATAGAACAATGGGCCCAAGGCAAAACAAATCTTAACAAAACTTGGTTAGTGCTTACAGGCACAATAAGGCTAATTGAGAAGTTACAAGAGTGATGAGCTACTATAGGTTACAGGATGGACACATTAGGTAACCAGGATTTTTGGATAAGGGAATTTGGATAACTGGAATTTTACTTCTAAAACCTTGATCATAAATTCAGGTTATAGTTACGTGTCTTACATATGTCCATAGTGGGTTGGCCTTAAGGGAAAAAGGCACCGGAGCAAACTTCTATCTTGGCACTTCTGATCTTCCTGGATGCTCCCACATTGCCATGTTCACAGTGGGCCCCCTGTGCCTCCCGCTTTGCTACCTCCCCCAAGTGCTTAACTAGTTTTGAAGATATGTTGAAGCTCAGCCCCAGCGCACATTAAGCACTGGCTGGGTGACTGGAGAGCAATGACTGCTGGCCAGGCACCCAGCTCCAAAGGTAGCACCACTGCCAGCAGCAGTGCAGAGGTAGGCATGGCAGGGGTGGGCAATAAGCTGTCTGTGGGCCAGTTTGCTAGGGTTAGCCCCAGTAGCCTGTCAGACATACCTGACAGTCTGCAATTACAGCTGCTTGCAGCTCCTGTTCTCAGCCAACGAAAGCTGCACCACCAGCTAGGCCACTGCTTCCTACAGCCAGTATCAGAGCTTTTCGATCTTTCTGTAGCTGAAGAGTTTAGACTCTCATGGGCAGGGAAGCCTATGGCATAGCTTGCTTGGGGAGGGAAGGAAGCAGCTCCATGATACGCAGATCCTCCTGTCCCCAGCTGGGGAAACAGCAATACAGGGAACAGCTTTGCATGGAAGCTTTTCCCATTCCCAGCACAGCTATAGCTGCTATAATAGCCATGAGAAAGGCAACCTACATAGAAAGGTGTAAGAAGGAGCTTGTAGCTAAGGGCTTGAAATGCAGTCTGAGGGTTTAGAGGACCAGAATGAGGCCCTATGATAGGGCAGGTTCACACATCTGGATAGGAATTTGAGAGGCCATTTAAAAAGTGTTTGGTGATGGGATGTGTGGAAATAGAGAATGTGGATTTTATAAGGAAAAGCAATAAAGGCTGTGCAGTTTCTCTTGGAACCATGATCTAAAGTGTGTACACACACAGTTTTCCTACAGTGCTTTACCAATATGCTGTGTACTTCTGAGAAATGTCATCTCAAATCCCAAGAGCCATGGAGTAACCACGCTTTGAGTCTAAGTTTGTAGGGACCTGGATGGATGATGCAATCTGCACTACGAGTTAAGGCAGAGGTAGGAACATGTGCAGTGGAAAGTGCCATGTGGAGAAGATATGGATATAGAGTCTGCTGTGTCCACGCGAAAGCTACTAGGACCCCTCTTCTCCTTCATCCTCATTAAGGCTGTTCAATGGCAGATATCCACTAACTGTGTAGTGGATACAAATTACTACTACACAATTAGTTGAGAAGGCACTCCAAAGGAACTACTCCCACTGCAGCTCTGGTGCTCAGGCAGCCTGGCTCCCACTACATTTAAACTGCAGAGCCCCATCAGGGGTCCCGGAGTAGCTTGAGCTGGGACCTCTGCAGCTCTGCATTTTAAATATAGTAAGAGCCAGGTGGCTCTTAGTACATTTTAAATGCAAAGCTGCAGCAGTCCCGGACCAATGCAAACTGGGACTGAGTTGGACTCGCTCAGTCCCAGCTTGCACCAGGACCAGCAGCCCTGACAGAGGCAGCAATGTGGGGGCAAGGGCGGGTGGCACTGCAGAGATAGCACCAGTTCTCCCCCAGCAAGGGAGGGGTACACCAGTAGTCACGTTGACTACAGTTTACATCCCTAATCCTCACCGTTATAGCTGTGTTAACTGTAGAAAGCTTGGCAAGAGCTCTCTATATGGAGGCACCATCAGCACTGAGGTAAAACAGTTGCCTCCAAACAAGCAGAAAAATAGGCTTTAAAGCAAGATGTGTCCCACCAACCCTTGGAGCACAGTGCAGCATTCATTGCTCAAAGCAGCTGCTCCCTGTGGTTTTGCTCTGGGGGGTAGGCTTCCTGGACTGCCACTAGCAATCTCTCAGGGCTTATTGACCAGACACCAGGGAGCTGAGATTTCGCAAAAGGCAGCACAGCACAATTTCTCAGCTCCCATTGCCCAATTTCTAGCTGAAATTTTGCTCAGGGTGGGGACAGCTTACAGAGCTTCTGCGCCTCCCTCCCCTCAAGCACAGAGCCACATGAAACAGACAGCTGTGGGATGCTGGCAGGCCAGCCTGTTTTGAGTTTGCTGCTGACCAGGAGCTGCTTAGGTAAGCACCTCCCAGATAGAACCTGCCTCTGGTACCCCACCTTCCCTCCTGACCCTGCACCCACTCCCCGCAGCCAGGCTCCTCTCTTGCACCCATACTCTCCCAGCCCCTGCACTCCAGTCCCCTGCCCCAGTTCATAACCTCCCTTCACCCAAACTCCTTCAGATCACCCACCATCCCCTGCAGCCCAGTCCCTTACCCCAACCTCCCTTCTGCAGACCCCATGCCTTCTCCATAGAGAAGAGCAGCCCTTGGCCACTTATCAAAATCCCATCAAAAATTATTGCTCACCCGTGGCTTTAAAGGAACCAACAGGAACTACTAGACCCTAACTGCACTGTGAACGAAGGTTTTTATGTATGAAGGTTGTGGTCATCAAGTTTGAGGAAAAGCTAGGATGCATTAGACAAAGTTGGATTTCAGCAGCTGGAGATTCTTATTTCTGCCCCAGTGAAGCCACCTGTCACCCACCATTCTCTCCTCCAAAGTAAGGCATCAGGGCCTGTTACAGTAATGTCTGCTCTGCCTTACTTCCCCAGTACTTCACTCCCCCTTCTCTTTCACTCAGTCATTCCCATCTTTTCCCTCTCTTTACAGTAGAAAGGAACCTGAAAGTTGAATCTGGGAATGATGCACATGCTTGTTACCCATTAGAGAGAGAACCAAGGGTCTCAAATTAGAAATGAAAGTGTCAAAGGCTCTCCAATGAGTGCAATGACCACCCATGTGCTCTATTAGAGAAAGGCAACAATAAGTTTTACAGAACATTTAAGACAAAAGTTGAATATTCAAAAGGTGTCTAGCCAGAGTAGTGCGTGAGTTAGAGTATGAGTGAGATCTGTCAGGATTAGGTTTTAATGAGGAAATAGATGATTTGATAAAAGACGCAGAGTGATGTATAACCTACATACTCATGGCTCTTTACACCATATTCTCACCAGCCCTCCCAAACTTAAAAGATGAGGACTAAATCTTGTGGATGAGGATGTGCACTGTGGAGACTTTCCCACAGCAACTCTGAGGCTCCTAGATGAGAATTCAGCTCTTATTTCAGAGTATTTCCTTTCAATCTCTTGGAGGCAAGACTGGCTAATATGAAAGTCAATGGCATAATCTCAAATAGCTTGCTTATTGCCTCTTATGTAACAGCTAATGAGAGTTTTAGTACAGCTTTTAGGAAGTGAAAATCTCTTGGATGGGACAACTGAACCAGTGGAATCCCAATTCCTCCCCCTTTGGGTTTCTCACCATGTTGAGCTGCTAGACCAGGGGTCAGGCAAACTTTCCCAAGTGGCATGTCACACCATGCTTGGTCTCCTGCCCTAGGCTCTACTCCAGCTTTTCCTGTGTGGAGGGGAGGAGCAGCATGTGCACGCTTCCCTGGAAGCCTGAAGCAGCATGGAGTTTTGGGCTCCCCCAGCACAAGAAGTGGGTACTGCTTCAATCTTGCAGGGTAGGCAATGCTGGATCTCCAGCAGACTCAGGTCAGGGTGGCTCAGGAGAGTGAGGGGGTTCAGGGAAATGGGTGAGTGTGACACCCCAGGATGTCCAGCCCTGTTGCTGGCAGGGGCCATGGAGGTCCACTCCATGTCTGAGGGCCAATAGGGCTTTGAGGCAAGTTCAAGGCCACTCTCCTCCCTCTTCCCCTCCTCCCCCCTTTCCTCTCCCCTCAGCTGCCACCACCCAGCTAGAGCCACAACCCAGGCAGCATTTATCTTCTCATGTAGTGGTTCTCAAACTTTCTGGCCTGTGAACAACATGGCTCAATGCAAACCTTTCTGCAGACCACCAGTTGCTAAGGGAAACTCAGTTACATAATTACACTTGAGCCATTTTGCTAGGAAGAATGATTTCATTTAAACAAAACAGATTAAGCATTTAACTGTTTGTTTATGAAACTTCATTTTCAGTAAAAAGATTAGTTCATGTTCAATACAAAAGGTTTAATTTTATTTACGACAGGGGTAGGGAACCTTTTTTGGATTGGGGACCACTAACAGAAAAATCAGTTGGGGATCACACAAGCGAGAAGCAAAATGCCTCCTCCAAAACCCCCCAACCCTCACTGATGTGCCCCCAACTTAAGACACCTCACTCCCCTGGCCCTCCAGCCCCATAGTGGGAGGAGCAGGTAAGACTAAGGTTCAAGGCCTCAGGCCAGATTTACCCTTCTGGTGTTCCAGGGTTAGTGGATTTTGTGGGGCCCCATAGGCTCTGGAGGTGGGGCCAAAAATGAAGGTAAGTGTGCAGGAAAGGGCTGCCAATGAATATGATAGAGATGGTGGGCTAGGTGTCTGGCCAGGGGGAAAACTGTCCAGCCAAAGGATAGAAATGGGCTGGGGTCCAGGGTGGCCTGGAGGTCTGGGCACAGGGGGGCACTTACCTGCTTTCGTGACATGTGTAACACGGCCTCCCACTGCTCCCATTTGCCAAGCCAGATTTGCAGGGGAAGCCTGCTGGAAGTGTTTCCTGGGCAAGAGGCTATGCATATGGAGCCATT